CCCCGGCCTCTGTTATGGTTGCCCTACTCCATTCTACTCGGATTGCTCTTTGAACCTCCTCCATAGCTGCTCTCTTGGAATTCCCTTTTGCCAACCTTCTGGCTGTTGTGCTCTCCTCCTTCCTGTGTCCGTTCACTTATTTCATCATCCACATCTGCCTCTTCTCTTTCCTTGTTTTGGTGGATATGTTTTTCAGGAGACTCCTGAGGAAAAGGGTATATGGAAGGATATTTTTTGAGATCATACATAACTGGAAATAATACCTTTGCTATTGATTGATTATTTGAATAAGTATACAATTTTAGTTTGTAAAGATTTTTCCTTCAAAATTTTGAAAGTATTTTTTCACTCTCCTACCTTCCAGCACTACTGTCATTAATTATCTTGCCATTCTATTTCTTAGTCCTTCCTATATAACATTTTTCTTTTTTCTGACCTATCCATGTTCAGTTTATTATGTTTTGTCAATCTCTTCTAAATAGCTCCTGATTTCATGTATTTCTTATTCTGTCTCTGCCACTATTTTAATGACAATTGCTTCCTAACTAGTTATCCCCCATCTATTCTTGATCCTCTTGATTCATTAATCCTCAGAAGCCAGACTGTCTTCAAAGTGGTGTGTCTTCTAATCACACGATTCATATTCATGCCTTGCTGCCTTCCCACCATTATCAAGAAATTTCCAGTGGCTTTGCAGAACATAAAATCTATCATTTTCTATATCTGGACTTGCCTCCTTCTAGCTATGTCTCTTTCCCTTACTCCTTATGTTCTGACCACTCCAGTTATCTTTTATTTCCTTTATCAAGTTCTTTGCTGCTGCAGGGCCTTTGTTACCCTCTTCTCCCTTCGTCTGGAATTGTCTCCTGTAAATCCTGTGGCCCCATCTACTTTCCTAACTCTTAATCAGCTTCTTTTCAGTTTCCATGGGAAACCCTCTGTGATCTCCCAGACAAGGTAAGGTTTCCCTTTTATATGTACTTACATCATCTTGTGCTTTTTCATAGCACTATTTCATTTGTTCATTCCGTATAAGTTTTTTGAGTACTAATATGTGCCAGACACTTCCTGGGTGTTGGGAATACAGGAATGAACAATACAGACTATAAAGCCTACCCTCTTGGAGTTTATATTCTAGTATTTTAGAAAGTGATAAATGAAAAAGAGAAAAAATAAAACAAGGAAGGGTAGAAGAAAGTTTTTTGATAGGTTGGCCACAATGGTTATTAATTGTGTGATTAATTTCTTATTATTTCTAATCAATTCCTAATTATGTGTTTTAGTTTGCCAGGGCTTCCATAACAAAGTACCACAGCCTGAGAGGCTTAAACAACAGGAATTTATTGTCTCACAATTCTGGAGGCTGGAAGTCCAAAATCAAGCTGTCAGCAGGATTGGTTCCTTCTGAGGGCTGTGAGGGAAGGGTTTGTTTCAGGCTTCCCTCCTTGCCTCTTCACTAGTTCCAGGCCTCTTTCCTTGGCTTCTCCCTGTGTCTCTTCACATTGTCTTCCCTCTATGCATGTCTGCATCCCTTTTATAAACACACCAGTCATATTGGATTAGGGTTCACCCTAACGACCTCATTGTAACTTGATTCAACCTCTCTAAAACTCTGTCTCCAAATAATGTCGCATTCTGAGGTATGGGGCGTTAGTACTTCAGCATATGAAATTTGGGGAAACTCCATTCAGTCCATCAGAGTATTTCACAGTGTTTTCTTCCCATATGAAACTGTAAGTTCTGCAATGGAGGAAATGTCTTTGTCTCGCTCACTGCCTTATCTCCAGGGTCTTGAACATAGTTAGGACTCAATACTTTTTGACCAAGTGAATGAATAGATTAAGATGGGAGAGTCACCATAGTTTTTCAGAGTCTATCAAGCTTATAAAAAATAGACTAAGAGAAAACAAGTATTTTTCTACATCTCTCACTGTTCTGTTTTACTTTACTTTTGAGAAGAAGCGTATAAGCTTAGTTCTTCTATCTTCCAAACGAAGGTGCCAGCCATGCTTCAGCTACCTCCTGTCTTCTGACTTGTGCAGACTTTTCTTCTACTCATTTATGCTTTGTCACTTTTTAAAAGAAAAGACAGAAAGGCAGAAAATCACAATTGTTGAATATATATTCTGTGCCAGGAGTTCCACAGATGTTATTGTAGTAATCCTCACAGCAACTCTATGAAGCGAGTATTACCGTTTCACAGAGGAAGAAACTGAGAGTTAGAAATGTTAGATAAGGGGCCGGCCGAGTGGCTCAGTTGGTTAAGAGCTCGCTCAAGAGTTTGAGCTCTGAGCAACAGCGGTTCGAGTCCAGCCCGAGCTGAGCAGCCNAAATAAGTAGTGAGTATAATGTATACTAATTATGATATTCAAGGGAAGTACACAGGAGTTACTTTTCCTAGGTCTATATAAAACAGAGATGAGAAATTATTTTACTCTATTTTAACCATCCACATTTGAGATTTTAAAGTTTATAGTAACGATTTCTATTTTTGTTATTGAGTGTCTAATTAAGAATTTTTGGATTTTTTAGGGAATGGTTTTTACGAAGGACCAAACAGAAAAGGAAATAGATGAAATTCATAGTAATTATCGTAAGTTGTGTGATGTTTTCTTTATTTGCAAAGAATTTGGGTGACAGATTTTTTCATCTTAAGTAAATTTTTTAAATAAATGTTTTCTGTGTTAATATTACTTAATATTACGTAAGAGACTGAATTGTAGTTGTTCACTTAGACATTGACCTTTTTTATAAGTCTGTGTGTCTGCTTTTGGGTTTGTGACTGACATTCTACTTTGAGCTTATCACTAAGTACTTTGCAAATATTAATTAGTTGCTCTCAAAGCATCTCTGTGAGAAGATAATGAGATTAAAATGGAAACATTTCTGACTTTCCATCCTCCCCTCAGGCCACTCAGTGCAATCAATGACAGTTCTTCTGTAAAGAATTTCAGCACTTTTTTGTAGCATGCAAATTTGTGCCAAAAATAGTTTTCATTTTGTTGGGCATTACCAGCTTTTCATCCATATCACTTCCTTTTACTTAAGTGGCTTTTGTACACCTCCTTCCCAGGGTTAGCACATTACTGTTTTGTCAGGTAGGTAGCTGTTATTCGTTGTTTGTTTGATTTGTTTTTAGTTTAAATTTAAATGCCTGGGAAACAGTAGATAGTTAATAAATATTTGTTGAATGAGTAGCCCGTACATGATGTGTTTTAGTGGTGCTAAGAGAATTTTGTTTTCTTTTTTCAGTTCTTAAGCTTTGAAGGGGCAGATTCAGCAGTGGTCTGTTTCGGGAGGAAGATGAAGTACATAGGCCCTACGTGTAGGTGTGATGGCCAGTGCCTTACTAGAGTAGGAAAAGGAGCCTAGAGGATTCATGGACCTCAGGCTGAACAACAAAAGTCACAGCTCTGTTGCTAGAAAAATAAATATGGTGTGATTCTTTTTGATCAACTTTTGGGAAGCCAAAGTGATTTTGTGAGACAGGTGATAGGAAACATTAAATGTTCACTGAATTCGCAAAGCTGAGGCCTGTAATAAAAGGAGACCAGAAAATTTGCATGGAGAAAAGTACTTTAAATCATCGAATTGTCAAAACCAACGTCTGTAGCAATAAGGAAACCAGAAAATTTGCATAGAGAAAAAGTGATTTAAATCACCAAAAAGATGGTATCTAACAATTATGCCACACTAAGGAAAAAACAGATTAGATACAGGCAAGAAAATATACAAATATCTGTTGCCCACCATTTAAATATCCTAAAAAAGCTTACCTTTACTGAATAGGTCATGTTAAATTAGCCCTAAAATAAACTTCAGTTTATACTTAAAAAAAAACAAACCCAAATAAAACCTTTCACGCACTTCCTAAAGCTCAAGTGCCTAGTCAGCATTATAGTTTAGGCACACATTTTGATTTACTGTTGGGCTCCAAATATAATATTGATATGTCTTCTTTTAAATATTTTTATTAATGTTTTACATGCATGCCATTTTTAAAAATCACATAATTCTACAAGGCTTATTATAGAAAACAAAAATCTCCTGCCTCTACCACCAACCTGTTTCCATTCCCATTCCCTGGAGGTAACAGCTGTCAGT